CTTTATCGATGGCTTTGCCTTGCAAATGGTGCACTTGTTAACAAGTTGTTTCTTGTATTACTACCTGATGTGCCCTCATTATAATGAGTGTCTTCGATAATCACCATGTGTTTATTTCAAGGGTCGAAAGTTTACTCAGTTGTTGGTCACCCTCACGTGAGCGGGAGGATCACGTACTCCCATACGTTTATGCACTGTGCCCTTCTTTGGAAGTGATTACAACCTCTTGTTATGCATTGTGCCCTTCTTCGGAAGTGATTACACTCTCTTGGTGGTAACTGTTTTTGCACTTAATAAAATTGTTTGGCCCTTGACTTTAATGGTCGGTTTGCTTCTTCCCGCCTCCGGGACCTGAGCTTGCTAGTCTCCACAAGTGTGCATTCGCAGAGACCACGAAGAAAAATGGTAGGTTACATACCTGTGACCATCTTTCTTCGAGTGGTGCTCTGCGAATTGACACTAACCCGCCCAGCCTCCCCTCTAAGCAAACCTCCAATTTCTCGCTACCGTAGCGGCGTAGGAATTGGATCGGTGTGCGCGGGGCGCCCTTTTATCCCCTGCCGGGGCTGGGCGGGGTTACCGCCAAAACTTGAAAAGTTTTAAAATGTAGAAGTTTCCGTTGGAGCCCGCGCAGGCACAGTCTCTCCACAAGTGTGAATTCGCAGAGCACCACTCGAAGAAAGATGGTCACAGGTATGTAACCTACCAATAGCTGGAGATCAGGATGAGTTGTAATTTGAACAGACTTGGTTTGATTTAAATAACATTAATTTAAATCATAATTTAAGTCACTTTTTTGAAGCACTCAGTTATTTCAGTTATGGTCTCGCATTCTAGCTAAAACTTCTACACACACATGTATATAATATATCCAAAATTTATAGAGACTTTGGTACATATATAAGCTAAACTTCAAAGTCTCTATTTATTTTTACATGTCTATCCCATATAGAATATGTTGCAATGTAGCAAACATTTGACATATGGATTTAAATTAATACATTTCTGAAGTGGGTCATTTTATATTACTGTATGTAATTTGTACCAAATTTTTTGTGCTCATGCTATGCAACAAAGCTTGCTAACTTTTCAGATAGCTTGTTCCCAAGTATAAAAATTATTTCAACATATATGTAATGTGTTTCCATGAAAATGATTACAATAAGAAAATACGTAGATGCCATTTGGTGCAAACTATGCAGTTTTAACAAACCATAGCTGTGAAGTGTGATTTTGAATGACAGTGCCAGAACAAATATTCTTCCAAATGGTACAGTTTTATTCTTCTGCTGGGCCCCATGGAATTACTGTGCTTACACATCTTGATCAGTCATAGCATTCCTTTTCAAAGCAAAATCCAAAAAGCTATATCCCAGTTTTATTCATAGGTGCACGGACAACTCTTTGATTGGGTAAATAACTGCATGAAAATTAGAGAAGCAACTCCTGCCGCTTCCCTCTCAATTCTGTATCACCCTGTGCCCTTTAAACATAGCACAAAGGGTTCAAAGATATCTGAAATAGTACAGTAGAGGCCCAGGGATGATCAAAATGAAAAGGAAATTTAGGAACTTAACTTCCCCTCTGCCCCAATTCTAGTCATAGAAATGTTCACTAGGCATTTTCACGCAAGATTCACATTAGATATGCTACCTAGTAAAACACTGGTCCGTTTTTTTAATCCATCTGTAAGTATGAGGATGTAAAATCAGTATTCCTCAGTGCACTTCAGTCATAGTATACTTCTGAATGTCAGAATTTGAAGAATAAATGAAAATAAATGTTTCTTTCATGCCTGCCTCAGATTTCCCTAAGAAATTTCATTGGCTACTGGGGGAGATAAAAATTGTCACCATTTAATTCAGTGAGGCACTTTATTAGTTCATTCTCACATGGAAAGAACATATTTTATCATATGTGGATAGTGGCTTTATCTTTATGCTTCCATATAGTATATAGTAAAATGGAATTATATGAAAATCCCTTGGGATTTAAGAAGAGCAAAGTCATATCTCAACCCATAATAGACTCTATGTGGATGTCCACAACCAAGCGGGACATCTACTGCTAGAAAGAATCTATGTGAAAAGCATGTCAGTAGTGGGAATTTTTAAGTGTTCTAGCTTTTAAACAAGGAAATTTTGTTGCTAACAGAAGTGTCCTTCTGCTAATGCATCCACTGCAACATGAAAACTATATAGAATGGGACTAAGCTATGGTTGCAAGTAGGTCTGCACTTTTTCAATGATGCCTATGCTATCATTGTGCCACCTTCACACCACACAATTGCTCCTTTTGTTTTAGAGCATATTACTTTAATCATGTCATCTGAACCAGGCACCATTAATGTGTACACCTATGCATTCTATGTAGTGCATACAAGTAATAAGTTCTCAGTTTGATAAATGCTCTTCTTAGATGGTCATCAACTCCATCGTTAGATATTTTGAACATGTATGGATAGGTGTATTTTCCCCTGCTGAAAAAATATTTCTAAAAGTTTGACTTGAAAGGTAGGATTTACACATTTCTTTCAGTTGCAAATAGTTTTTTTTTACATTACCTTTCTTTTTTCAAAAGGAATTTTTGACAAACACAATGATTTTTTTCACTGATAATAAACAAAACTAGCATAGATATATACAAATCATACTAATACCATAATTTCTTCAGAGCCCTGAGTTTCCTTAAATATATGGCACATAACAGATGTAACTGCAGTGCTGAAACATGGAGATATGCAATGTGCTTTGTGCCATAATGCAGTTGCCTCGTACTCTTAAAAGATCAGTATTTTATATTTTGTTATACAGAAATAGGACTGTCTGTGAGTAAAGGAGAGAGCATTACGTGTTAATGCACATTTAAATGAGTATTATGAATAAGATGGTGAAACCTATTTGTGTTCTATGTTGTGAGACTGTAGTGAGCATTAAGAAACAATATCTACTCATGCAACTGAGCTTGTATTTCTTTGAGCTTAGTAACAAGGATACTGCAGAAAATGTGAGGCTGCTCTGCTAACTGTATTGTTCCTTAGCCTTTGTGCTAAATTTCCGTCTACAACTTGCATGATCAGCTTTTGTTTATGTGAAAACCGTATCAATTGGAAATAACAGTTGTGATAGAGTGGTTCTATTTGTGTAATCATGGAATTTTGCGAAGGGGAGCATGTCACCCCAAAAGCGAGCATGGCTGCACAATATGTTGTTTGTGCCTGTCCTTGAAGAATGTGTTTGTGGTGCAGGTAAGTTATAAGTTAAAGCCCTTATCTGCAGCTCAAAATGTGCATCACATTTTGCACATTAATACATAGATCCAGTGGAGATGAATTCTTGTATTTTGTTTATTATAAAGCTGTATAATGCAGTAGTTCACTTTAACAAATAACTTTTATTGGCTGATTTTTCCCATAGAAGATGATAATACAGTCAGCCCTCTCCTTTCAGAGGTTTCATATTTTCCAAATTCAGTTTTCATTGATTAGGTAGTGCCACGTCTGCTGCCACTGTACATACGAACTGGAAACCTAGTGAAACTGAGGGAGACCATGAACATACAATGAAGCTTGTACATCCCTCTTAAAAATGTGGGGGAGCAGCAGAGCTGGAACCCACTCCTGCCTGCCTCCCCTACCCATCCTCATCTGATAACTGGCTTGCAGAGGTCATGTCTCTACTGCACTGGAGCTTCTTCCTTGTGGGCAATGGTCACATCCAATCTCTATGCCAGTGGTTCACAACCTGTGAGTCCTCAAGTGTTTTGGCCTTCAACTCCCAGAAATCCTAACAGCTGGTAAACTGGCTGGGATTTCTGGGAGTTGTAGGAAAAAAACATATGGGGAGAAACACTGCTCTATGCCCTGACCTTCATCTTCAACACCACCACCCTTAGTGGCATAAGTGGCAACACCAGGTGAGGGCATCTCTATAAAGAGTGGCAGAGAGGCAGGGCTTCTTGGTCTGCAACCACTCCACCGGGGCTGCCACCTCTGCCTTATAACAGTATCATTAGGGAGGAAAAGGAGGCCCTGGCAGGAGAGATACACACAAAGCTCTCCTGCCCTTTGTTTCTGCGTTTTGCCTGGACAGGTTACAGACTGGCAGCAATGACAGAGCACAGGGCCTGTTTTTCCTCCTTACTGCTACTAGCTGGGGTATGTAAGGCTGAGGTAGCAGTCCCAGTGGACTTGGGTAGCTGCCCACAAAGAGGCCAGTGGGGCAGTAATCTCTACAACCCAGTTGGCAAGTGAGGGAGACAGGACGAGATGGGGAAGGTGCACAGTCTGGTCACTTTCAATCAGAGGCACAACATATCTGAGAAGAAACAAAGGAAGCTCTGGGCTGTTACATGAACTGATAAAATTGTTATGAAGCTGAAAAACACTCAGTCAATTAAATAAATGCATTGTTGGTTAGTAGATGTAGTGGTATGGAAAAGAGGTGATATTTCAAAGTGTCTGGGGGAGGATTTTTGGCCCCCAGGATGGGAGTCATGCTAAGCCTACTTCTAGTTTTTGTGGTTTTCTAAAACCGGGGTAATTGGGGGGGGGGCAGAGATATCCCTCGTGACTGATTTAAAATCTTTAAGATGTGAAAAAATATCACTTTTTTCCTTCAAAAATATTCACCTTGTTGGGGAATGCTTTTGACCCCCCATGGTGATGTGCTGATGAAAGGATGGTTATTACTGGTGCAGCTATCAGATGCAATTTTATTTTAGTACAATTGGGCTTGCAGAAGACCTTCCTTGACTTGCTGAAGTGTCTGCTTATAGGTCTAGCAGTTTGTCTGTGTTGCTTTTTTTGTTATGGGCTGAGCCATAGAGCAATTACAACTATGAACCATTATCTGCTAACTGAAATCATTTCATCTTCTGCTGAGATGTAATAAATGTTTCATTATTTGCAGCTCGCTTGTCTCAAGAAATTTAAGTGATTGGGCCAAAGAGAATCTGTTGTGTGTTGTCATGTATACGTGATTACTCTCACTTGTTTACAGGCTCTCCCTCTCTACCAGATAAATATCGTCATAATCGAGAGCTGATGATGCTGCTGCCAGCACACAGAGATCGACCTAGTAGTGCCATGTATCCTACAGCTATCATGGAAAATGGACAGGTAAGGCTTTTGGTGTTTTCTTTTTCTAAATATACTCACTCAGTCAATTAAATAAATTCATATACTCACTGTATATTAGTATACCATTCATTTTCAGAACAGAAAAGTATAGATGTTTAAGAATAGGAGCTAATGAATTGAAAATTTTATGCTAGCTCTACCTCCGTGGAAGGTCTTGTTCCTATTAATTCCTCCATTGTGCAAGGCACAGGATGTTTGGCATTATTCTGGCTACCAAGGCATACCTTGCGCCATCTTTTGACCCATGTTTCTTTTGCACCTTTCCTTCTGAAAGAAAGGAGAAAAGAAGAAAGACTGGGATTCTTAACGTGTAGTGTGTGGGTTCAAACAAATTGGTTGTTTCTTGAATGGTTGAAAGATGGAAAGAAGTGTCATTTCTACTCAGGGAAACCACACTTAAGAGGTGCTCCTTCATCACTACTCAGCAAGAATAATGTGTGACGCTCTCCTTATTCTTTCATGCAAAAATAATGTTTCTTTCCTCATCAGTCTTGAAGAATTATATATTCTCTCTTTCTTTGTTCAACAGCTTCTTATAATAATCCGCTAAAACAGCTTAGGAAGAGAGATCAATCTTGAAAAATTAATAGAACATTAAAAATCAGATCTCTAGTAAAAGTTCATTTAAAAAAACAACATAAAACCAAATGTTCCTAAGGAACTGCAAGACATCTATAAAGGATCATATGGGCCTACTGTATCATCTGTATCGTTTTAAAAAATAACTTATATGTGCTGAAAGCTGAATTAATCATAACTAGAGTAGACCTATTGAATCAATAGAAATTGCATGTGTGTTAATGCACCATTCAACAATTTATTGAATAAGGATGCACTTACACTGTGGAACTGATCCAATCTGACACCACTTTAATTGTCATGGCTCAATGTTGTAGAATCATTAGAGTTGGTGTTGTGCAGCCCCAGCACTCTGGCAGAGAAGTCACTGTGAAACTGCAGTTCCCAGGATCCCACAGCATTGAGCCATGACAGTTAATTTGGTGTGAAACTGCATTCTTTCTACAGTGTAGATACACATTTAGGCCTCATCTACACTGACCTTTTTCAAGACATGCAGTCTTGAAAAAGGTGATTTTGCTTTGCAGATGATTACATAGGAAATCCTGGAATTGGCACAAGGCTTGGATGGTAGTTATTACACAAACCATAGAGTACTGATACATTTTAAGAGCTTTCTTTCATGTGCTTTAATGGGAGCTTGTTGTCTGGCTGTCACAGTTTGAAGCTAGCTTCGAACTGCATTAAATGATCAATATAGATGTGGCCTTAGTTTATGTATAGGTATAACCAACAAGATGCGTATCAAAGTTTGCTTAAGAATTACATATTTGGCTAAATGAATGGGAATAAGTACTTAATTCTTATATAGTTGCAACACTAATAAGCCCAGAGAACCTATCAATGCTGCAAGGGCCATATTGACATTTGTTTAGGAAAAATAACTTGTACAAGAAATAAAAATCAAGTTGATGATTGTAACATTCTGGCATTGTTGTGAGTCATATATTTCTTTGTAGAAACAAATATCAACCAATTCTCTTAGAATTCTGTATTAGCAAGAATGTCAGTGTTTGTTTTCAATACTCCTCTACTGGTCTTTTCTCTTTCTTTCTTTCTTTCTTTCTTTCTTTCTTTCTTTCTTTCTTTCTTTCTTTCTTAGCACCCAAATTTCCAGAGAGCATTGCTCCAGCAGGTGATCGGACCATGCAAACCCTGTAGTGATCCCAATCTGTCTGTAGCTGAAAAAGGTATATTTTGCTGATTGCATATTATTTTATTTATGCAAAGGATTGCTTTTGTTATACTAGTTTAACATTAATATATTATTTTATGTTTCTAGCTAATGGTCTTGGGTCTAATCTCCTAAAACTAGCTCATATATGATGCTACTCACTGAAATAAGTATATAGTTTGTAAGTTTTAAAATGAAGAAACATGGTTTATTTTGCATGATTATGTGGAACAAGTAGATCATACACACACACTGCGTGGCGACCATGCCCTTATATTCTCCAACAGGATATAGATTTTCCCGCCACAATTCATGTGTGAAAGTATGTTCCCTAACTGGAAGTGGTTGTCATGACGAGAAAAGGCAGTTATGAAATAGGTTTTTCTAATTCAGTGTGTGATATTACAACGCAAGCCTTGAAAATCAGACAGCTCTCTCCAGTAGTTGAAGATGCCTATGTATATTAATTCAACTAGAACTGTGGTTCTCAACCTGTGGATCCCCAGGTGTTTTGGCCAACAACTCTTAGAAATCCCAGCCAGTTTGCCAGGTTTTAGGATTTCTGAGAGTTGAAGACCAAAATGTCTGTGGACCCACAGATTGAGAACCACTGATCTAGAAGATGCATTTCATTCACACAGTGAAAGGTTCCAGAGTGAGATGTCTTTGCATAAAGGAAAGACCTTTCAAACATAACTGCCATACTGATACATCAAATCACTATGACCATACTTTAGAAATTACAATGGAATTTATCCCTTTTCTGAACATACCTTATCAGATCAGGGGAAACCACCCAAGAGTAGAACTGTGGACCATGTTTTCTAGGTACATAAATAGTATTCTGTCACACTGTGGACAAAGTAGAGCAGTGGTTCTCAACCTGGGGTCCCCAGATGTTTTTGGCCTACAACTCCCAGAAATCCCAGCCAGTTGACCAGCTGTTAGGATTTCTGAGAATTGGAGGCCAAAAACATCTGGGGACCCCAGGTTGAGAACCACTGAAGTAGAGGGAATATCTGTCATTTAAATAGTGCTTGTTTTATTTGTTTTAGTTTTAATGTGCTTTCCTCGATTTTATAATGAGATAAAATAGGATTTAGGTAATATGTGTTATGATGTATCTGCTGAGCACATTATTAACTTATGTGACATTTTTTCCTTTGAGGGACAATTACATTGATCGCAAAAGAAATATTATGTTAACCCATCATTTGAGCTTTTCTTTGTCATCTCATATGGCAGTTGTAGCAAAGAATAGACACCAGTATGATCAGATTAATCAGCTAATAGTCATGTTGCTTTACTAATTCCCTTTCTTGGAATCCACAGGATGCTTAAAGAAGGATATCAGTAGGATTTATGTCCATGATGACTTGATCTTGTTCACCCAGGAGTCGGTCTTTTTGAGATACTAATGCAGAGTGCTCAACAAACATCAGCACATACTTATTTTCTATATTAAAGATATAGGTCTTGGGTTTTTATATTCTTAAGGTGTATATAATCCATGTGTGATGACTGCAACAGTGTCCATCTTGACAGTATAACTGTCAACGGTAATACATTTTAAAACAGCCCGCAGCTATCTAGTAGCATTCTGTGTCAGATGCACTTATTTGATTGTTACTCAAGCATGACAGATTCCCAAAGCAACTTACATAAAATAGCACAATACAGCTTTATTGGGGCTGTTTCTAGTCCTTCCAGCACATGGTATTTTTTTGAGCTACCACAGCCTCTTCACCCTAGGACTGCAGCAAAACGGATCATGAGTTTTGGCATGGCTTCAGAAAGCAGACTGTTCCACAGAATCAGAAATTGATTCTGATTGTCACCATGTGCTATTACAGGTGATATCTGCTTACTTAGGTCTTCCCAACCATAAGTCAAGAAATGTTGAGACATTCCTGATACTGTTTCGACATAATACCACTTTCTATGTCTCATTTTTCATTCTAATATTCCTTTCTGTCTCTTACTATCCTTTTAACTTCATATTTATTTTAAATTATCCCATGGCCCTCTTTAAGCACGAAATACCAACAGCAGTGTTAGTGTTTATCTTCTTTTGTGCCTGAGTATTCACTGACACTTTTGTTTCAGTATTTTGGTTAACTGTTTATTTCAAAATACAAATCCACTTTATATGAAATTATATATAAGGGCGGTTATATAAAAATAAATCTAATAAACATATAATTTAAAGCAATTACATCGAACCGATATCAGAAATGAACTAGTAAGTAGTGCAGCATTTTAAGGGTAGGTAATGTGTGATCTAAACTGACTGAACCAGCTGTAATTTCTCAATATTCTTCAAAGACATTAAAATAATCCAAGTTTCAAATTTAGTAGAACATGTATCATCGCTGCTAAATTCTTAGCCATGAGGAGAAGTTGGGTAATAATTGAAAATTTCATTTTTATTAGAAAAGCTGCACTAGACGACAGCCCAGTGGCAATTTTATTTGCTTGAAATAACTTGCTTTTTATCACCTTTGGCCTTCCATTCCTCACAGTTCATAAAGTAAAGTCCTGGTCATTTCTTTGTTTTGAAAATTATTCAGAATGTCACTTGGATTGCTGATACTGTTAGCTGAGATGAGCTCCCTAATGGCATTCTGGAAATAAATTCAATCCATCAGTTAGGGCAGGTCACAAAACCAGCTCACTGCAACAGGCTACTACCACTTCAGTACCTAAGAACAGGTAATGGACAGAATGTTCCAGGATGTGTTGGATTGTCTATACCAGGAGTGTAATTACACTTAACCTACTTCCATTAACGGAACCTCAAGTTGAATGCTGAGATTCCCAGAAACTATCTGCTTGGAAGAATTCAACACCACATCCCAAGATATTCAGCAAGATAGCAGAATAAATTAGCAGAGCCCCAGTTCATTCAGTCTCCAGCATCTGGTGCATACATTAACATAGACAGTGCAATACAAGGGAAGCTTCCACTATGTTCCACCACCATCTTACCTTAGTGCTGTATTAGGAAACTATCTGACACATTTGAGACATGACAGGACAAATGAAGGACCTCTATTACCACAGAACACATGCAGAGGTTTCATGCTACATATACTCGGTAATTGTGTTTTTATATAGAGAGTGAGAGCAAAAAGAGAATCTGTTAAATTGAAGCCGTTACTATGAAATAATGTAAGTTCTGGCACTAGCATTGCTTTTTAACATCATTTATATCAACTGCAACCTTTAGCACAATTTATAAAAAGGGAATTAATTTCAACACTGCAAGTTGTGTGTTCCTCTTCCAACCACAGTACTGTCTACTATATTACTGTACTCTACTATAATACTCTCCTCTACTATTGGTGCAGATGCGTTGCTTTAGCTGAGTCCCATGACTGAATTTTCCACTCTGTACGATTATGCTTGATCTTTGACAATAAAAATGATATAACTTGTAATGTATATTTCAATAACCTTTTTTTTAGATAACACATCCTTTGGGGTATGATTGCCACCATGAATTATGTAACAACATTTTGTTGTAGAGAAAAAAAACCCGATCTCTTTCTGTTTGATTTCATGAATATTCAAAGGGCTGTATTTCTTTAAAATGATTTGGAACCAAAGGAAAATACTTTGTTTCATCTTGGTCATCCCGGCACAGTAACAGGCTCTGTTCTGCATACTGAAATTTCTGCACCATGTTCTTCATACTCACTTCCTTTCATCTCGCTTTTAAATATATATATACATATATATAGTCCAAAACTCCATTCTAGATACTTTCATCTTGTTAGTTCTTGGAAACCTTTCTGTTCCTATAACCAAAAGGTGCACAGTACCATATCACTCACTCTTTTCAGTGAATATGCCTAAGAGCATGGGACCAGTCCCATAATATTCAAGTTCTTTTAAAAAGAAAGGAAAGCCAGCCTTCCATCCCATTAAATCCCAGTACCATTTGTATTACAATATTACCCAAATTCCATCTGTTTCCATCCTTCAGCTGTTCCAGCAGCACCAAGCAGCTGGAGTCTGGACAGCGGAACCAGAGAGGCCTTGCCATTCCTGTCTACTCATGTTGGGAGCATCCTGGCTCCACCAGTGCCTCCCCGAAGCCTACCCCATGGTAAGGAAATGGCCAATAGGTCTGCAGAAACAAAACTGCATCAGTGCCCAGATAAATCATATGAAGGCCATCATCTGTTTTCCTTCTGTCACAAGAAAATGGGCAAAAAAGAAGATCTTCCTGAGTTTCTTAGCTGACAAGTTACATATATCTTTCAAACTTCAGCCATTCTATGAATGTGCTCTGGGACTGGAATTAAACATGTGAGTGATCCAGACTAACCTGATATCTTTCTGAAATCCTTACGCTAGAAATATACATTGAGCTCCAGTTATTAAAGAGACATTTCGCTTTCAGAGGTGTAAATGCTAAAAGAGCCTGTTGTCTTGCCATGGGAGCCTTGATAAGGTATTTCATTTCTTCTTTATGTTACTGTGAACATTGAAACTCAGTGTTACTGTGTGAAAAGAGTTGGTTTCTAAGAAGCTGGCACTGTACAAGTAGAACTTAAGAAGTATTAAAGAAAGCTGAGTGATGATAAACAAAAGTGCTACCTCTGACCTACTGCTCTTTGCTTATCTCATTTCAGGTCACTATTCCCTACATTTTGATGCCTTCCACCATCACCTGAATGATGGGCCCCCAGCACTGCCTGCACGAACGCTGCGGAAGGTAAAATTATTTCTGCAACTGCAAAACCTTCCATGACATTTACCCTATGTACTCGTATACAGGTCTAGAAATTTTAGTCAAAAAATTGACCCAAAAATCCGGGTTGACTTTTTCATGGATACACATGTTTTGCACCTTAATTCTTTATCATAAAGGAACCATCCTCTTCCCTGAGGAGAGTGGTAAATGATGAAATCTCAGGTCACCTCAGGAGAACCTAAGCCCTTTATTTGCTCCCCCATGGCACAAGTTTTGGCCTTTTAAAATGCCTGGGTAGGATAAAGGTGGTAGCAACCAGGGGCAGCTAGCCTCCTGAGGTGACGCTACTGCTTTCCCCTTTCTATGGAATAACCACTCAACCTTCCCACCAACTGTCTAAATCTGCTTTAAGCCTTATTTAAGAGAGAAAAGCAGTATATAAAGATATAACAACAACTCTCTGATCCAGTATTGAACAATGAGGGGAGGGGATCCAGAATGGTGAAAAGGAAAAGAGGTTGATTCTGCCCATTCGGATCATTTCTCCAAGTCAAAATTGGTCATGGCAGGACAGACTTAATTATAACATTGTTGCTATTTATGTACTTTTGTTTCCTATTTAAAGTAATAACTCACTGATACTTTCATGATAAAAAGTTTTGCTCAGTATTTTGAGTGAAGAATTATGATAAATCTAATCTAAATAGCAGCTGTTGCGAAAATTCAAATAAACAGCAGTAATGTAGTAAAATGTAGTAAACATTTTGATTTGGAGTGATACAACCATACCAGATCAAAAGAACATGTTCACTTCTCCTAGATAAAGAAAGTGAGCAGGCCACTGTTGAAAATGATGTTGAATAAGTACTTTAGCATCTTTAGTTCTAGCTGCCTTTTTTTTTTTTGCACCACCTAGAGAACTTGTGAGTAGATCAATAGGTACCGCTCTGGTGGGAAGGTAACAGCGCTCCATGCAGTCATACTGGCCACATGACCTTGGAAGTGTCTACGTACAACGCCAGCTCTTTGGCTTAGAAATGGAAATGAGCACCAAACCGCAGAGTTGGACACAACTGGACTTAATGTCAGGGGAAAACATTTACCTTTACCTAGAGAACTTGGAAGCTTGCACATTGTTTATGTCTTTTTGGTTAGTCCAAATTACTGTTCAGCTCTGGCTTGGGTCCACCCCCACCCCCGCCCTCAAAGCCTAATAATTGTTTTGTATTCTTGTTTTTTCTTGAGCATAATATTATTTATTATTTATTTATTTACTATATTTGTATACCGTCCTTCTCAGCCCTTAGGCGACTCAGGGTGGTTTACAGTGGCAATGATTCGATGCCCAAAAACACCATAAAGCATTTAAAAACATTAATACATAATATAAAACCATAACAAGAATACTAAAAGCATACTTCATTTTTGTCTCCTAATAAAAACATTGTTCCATAATACCCACATATAAGTAGTTAATCAGAAATCTGGAAACAAAAAGCTGGGATATGCAGTCTACTTGAGTATAAAATCCTTAAAAGAGGAATGGATGTGGAAAAATACAAAGGTTTATTTGTTTTAACATGTACATCTGTCCTGTACTGCTGTTTTTTCTTCTTTTGAATAGTCACCTCTTCACCCAATACCCGCATCGCCCACAAGTCCCCAGTCTGGCCTAGATGGAAGCAACTCTACCCTTTCAGGCAGCGCCAGCAGTGGAGTCTCCTCATTAAGTGAGAGCAACTTTGGACATTCATCCGAACCCCCTCCTCGAACGGACACCATGGATTCTGTCCCTAGCCAGGCCTGGAATACTGATGAAGACTTAGAGACCCCCTACCTCCCCGTCAGGTACAGTCTCTCAGAGCCTGATGTTCTGGAAACTCTCAAATCCCAGCCATGCCGAAGCCACTCTGCTCCATCCGGAGTCATTCCTCAGGATGCAATAGACCCTCCAGCTCTACCCCCAAAACCATATCACTCCCGTCTCCCAAACATGGATAATGAAGTAATGATTTTGGAAGAGGAAGACAAACATCGAGCCCTGCATCGCAAAATCTCCCAGCCAATTGGTGGTGCAAAAGAGGAGCAGGCCAGGGTGGCCTGGGAACACGGCATCAGCGAGCAGTAGGCAATACTATGGGAAGAACAGTTTGCATGATCATTCCAGGCCTAAGAAACAGAAGGGATTTATAGTATGAGACTTCAGAGAAGTGAAGGGGAGGGGGGAATGAACTGGTTTATTCTCTGCTGCTGTGAGAATGACTGGGGCCAGCATGTATGGTTGCTGCTTTCCTCTTTATTTAATTTTGTACTTTTCAGACCTTTGGTAGTTTGGGGGGGTGGGGAGTTTGCCCTTTTTTTTGCAGTGGGTGCTTCATTCCTTCTACAGTTGTGAAACGGTAGGAAGGAATATATGACATTTGCTATAGGTATTTGCAGAAACGGAATATTAGACTTTGGAGGGGGAATGTGGCATTTTTTACAAGCTTTCTTCCCACTATTGAGATGCGCACAAGTTGAAGCAGTTGCACTAAGAATGTGTTTTTTTGCTGTAGTAAGTGAATGCTCATTTCTTATTCAGGGAATCCATGAAGTGTCAAGCCAGAAGGTACACAGTTTAGAGGCATTGACATTTGCTATAGAAAAAACTGGATATTCCAGACTTGAGGTAAAAACTTTGCAGAGGGGTTCTCTGCATTGCCTCAGGTGTGTTGAAGCAATTTAACCAGTGCTTACTGGCTGTCATTTCGGTGTTAAGGTTTCATTTCATACAAACTCGTCATGGTTTGTCACAAGCTTCGATTTCCTGCTTTCCCCATTGTCACTGTTGTCTGTATTTACCAATGCCTACAGTATGAGGGAAATACCTAATCCTGAGACCTGTGGCCTTTCTCTGGCAAAATCTATACTGGTTAGTGGGACTAGCATTTTTATTCTGGAAGTAAGCTAGTAATTGCTTATTGTCATAGCAACTAGGTATGTGAGCTAAAATAAAAGACAGTTTGAGCACATATTTGACCCTTGTGACTAGGCTGGATATCGGCATTGTCCAAACTTATGTCTTCTCTTGTGCCGCCTCACCCCCAAACCTCTCACTGCTATTGGATCACAAGACCTCCATTCGATCCAGTGTAACAAAGTAACAGTAGGTTTGTAACACTATAGAGACAGGAGTTTTAAAGGTTGCCCAGAGAATACAAAACAAAAATCTATTTAATTTTTTATGTTTAACAAGATGACCTAAAGTAATTACCTACTCCTGGGGATTGTGAAATTGAACATAGACACTGTATGTATGTCTGTTCAAGAACAAGAGCAGCCAATTTCCTTTCCATGCCAACAGTGTACGTTTTAACTAAAGGAACTGTGGAACATGCTGCCATAAGCTACATATATAACAAAAATTGAAATAAGGTTGCAGAAAACATATAAAGAAATAATGATACATGCTAGCTAATGTGGTGAAAATTAACAAATTACATTTAACTACACATTCAGAGTTAAAGAACATTATAGTTTCTTTATAACTATCTTATCCCACTACCTTTAAAAAGGTAAGGCTGTCTTTAAGATCCAATTTTGTTGTCTTTCTGCCCAAGAAATAGAAGAAGAAGAAACCTATTTGCTTAAAGCTTGCTTTAGTTTACTTTTGTTTCTTTTTTCATAATGATACCCAAAAGCACATTATGAAACATGTTACTCTAAAAATGAATCAGAGCACAGAATACATTAAGGATTAGCCCAGTGTCGAAATTTAGCAATGGCTAAGAAATCCAGCTGTGTCCATTTGCCAAGAGAATAGACAAAACAGAATGAGTTCTCCCTGCAACTTCCCACGTATTGTCCAAATCACTGAAGATTTTAGCTTCAGCAGAGCTATAAGAGGAGCAGGCCTATTGCATTAACAGATGTTTGCATGCACTAGAAATAAAGAATCTTGAACTATTTACTTCATTAAATCACAACATTCATGATAAACAAACAAATCGCTTTCCCTAAACAAATGAAGGTGGTAGTGCACCCCTGTATGACTTATGTTGACTGGGTTGATTTTCTATAATGATTTGTCTAAGCTCTCTCCAATGCAAATATGTAAAACTTTTGCTCTTATATTTTAACTAACCAGCATGCTGGGGGGGGGGGGGGAGTGTTTTCCTTTTTCAGCCGGTACTAATTAAAAAGGTCCTTCCCTCCTACTTTTGTCTCACAAGGAGCATTTATCCTACTAGGAGTGGTGGCTTTCTGTGGCCACCAGAAATATCCCCTGGCAAGCACAATTTAAATATAGAAGATAAACATCCATGTTAATATTAGAATTTTAAGCAGGATAAATTTAATCTACCAGGAGGATTTTCTCCACTGTTCACAATACATTTTATCCACCAGGTGGATTCTGAAATAGCCCCCTCTTTTAAGAGTATGGTGAGACTGGCAGTGCAATCCTGATCATGCTTACTTAGAACTGGGACTCACCTGAGTTGTCTGGGACTTGCTTCCTAAGTCAGTGCACTCAGGAATGGTTGCAGCCTGAATACAGAGAGGAAAAGGTTCTGCTGACAGTATGCCCCCCTCCCAGCAAGTTGACAGATATAAACATATACCAGCTGCTTTCATCCTTTTCTCATCATCACCAAGTTTTATGGAGAGGGGCAAGTTTAGCTTTGTGTTCATAAGGATCTATGTGGGGAACCATCGTTTTCACATTTCTACACAATGTTATGTATGTGTCTGTATTAAGTGGCTTTTAAAAGGGGGGTGTGCTGTTTTGTGTTTATGTGTACGATGCAATTTCCAGTGTATTTCAATTGGTAAGTGTGAAATTCAGCGTCATATACAGTAAATCAGGGCCACAAAGTGTAATGCAGAGGTCAGTCCAGTTGCCAAACTGGATTTCCTATGCTGTATTATTCAAATTGCTTAGTAGATTTCTCAAACCATGTTGCGTGGGGTTTGTGCTGACATGGCTTAGAAAGCCAGAATTCCTATAAAAAGCATAGTAATAAATTCTTTGGAGACAGAGAGGAAAATGGAAAATATTTTTTTAATATTTTTGGAGAGTAAAATAGCACACACAATCATGGTGCCTTGGAAAAGGTATAAACTGCTCCAAACTATGTTCTTCTTGCCCCTTTTCTAGAGGGAGGGGGAGTTGCAGAGACATCTGTGGTGGAAAAACAGGAGGAATTTGTTCCATCGTGCAGTAGCAGTAGGTAATATATTTGCATTTTGTTACAATAACAAAGTACAAGAATTCCTTCCCCCACAAGTATTCCCACTCTCATTTTCCCCCCTCTTATTTAATCCTAAAAGAGGGGACTAAATCTTATCCTACATGAGGAAAAATAACAGCAGGAAATTTGGGGAGGGGACATCATGTTGATTACTGCCCACTTTTTTATTTCTGTGTAAATATCCCACTTGAATGCTATGTATTTATACAGGAAATCTGAGCAAAAAATGTATAGATTGTGATGTCTGACTGGTACTCTGCCCTGTAAATGTGTTTTTAATCTATCGCAATCTGTTATTTAAAAAAGCAAATCCCTCTAACCAGTTCTCTTTTCGTGTATTCATGTTCAGAAAACCTGTATTAACTGTAAGAAAAAACAAACAAAGGAAAACAAACAAAAATATTTGTACCAGAGTCAAGATATTTCATTGTATATATTGTGATAGCATGTTTCTGGAATCAACAAATAAGTGATGTGAATTTTAGGTGTAAATATGTTTTGTTTAGGGATTTTTCTTCCCTTCCCAATTCACTCAACCGCTGTGATGTGGAATTAAAGATTAATACTGATCCTAAAAAGCATTGAGCAGATGTGCTCTCTGAGTATCACAGAGATATTTATTCAGATGGCCAGTTCATCTTCCCAGTTTCTCTTAAGTCCTAGGTAAATTAGAGGATGCACTTTATATTTTATTGATCTCCTTTTACATTTAATATTCAAGTTATGTCAAAGGAAATTACCTAGAAGTCTGGGAGTGGGAAACTTCTGAAGAAATGGGAAAAGGAGGGAAATTGCTACAATATATTTCATGAGGAAATTAATCTGAACATTGACTCTTAAACAGCCCTGTTTTACTCAGCAGTGTTAACCCGTTTTAAACATTCCGCATGATTTTGGGGTATCATTTTATTTTATTAAAAACTTAGAAAAAAACTTTAAAAAAAAACAAATTGTCAACAGTTATCACTAAAGGAAAGTCGATATTCATGGCAAGAGGAAAAAGAGCTGCTGTTGACTTGAAGGGTTTTCTTCTGGCTCTGTGAGGCCTTGAGAGAGGCAAAATAACCCACTAGTTTCTAAAGTAAAGTGCCTACTGGAACACTCACATGGATTTTCACTGTTTCTGGATTGTTTCTTTAAGGCCATAGTAGTCTGCGGCAGTCAGTTCCAAGTTCACTGAAATGGCTTGACACTGCCCCCATCTGTTGCCAGTCATGAGCAACATTAGTTCTGCTGTCAGTCCAGAAATATATTCTATATCTGAACTATCGCTACATGATCCATTTCTAGCAGCATAGGAAGTACCTTTGGATTGCAACTCTTTTCCCCTACCTGTGGCAGAACAGCATGTCCTGTGCACAAGTACCCAGGATCAAAAGAATAGGTTCTCCATCATAAAAATAACTGTTCAATATCTGTGATTATATCAATAATTACAGCAGTTAAATACAAAACTAGAAACCACACACAAATGAGTCATAACACACAGAGACTTACCTTGAATATACTGTAGTTACTTTTTCGATCAGTTTCAATTTTAGGGATAGAAAGGAGCCAAACCTGACCGGTCAATCTAGATATAATGGTATAATGTTGGTTTAGCTCAGGGCAACTTGACTCAACACACAAGCTTTTGTTAGGTTTTAGCTGGCAAATAAGTGTAGTGGGGATATACTGCTGAATGTGGGAGGCCCTGGCACATCTCACTCTGTACCTAATTTGAGCAGGTTACAAAGATATTTCAAGGCCAGTATATTGCACTATAGCTGTGCAGGACATCAAGCATCTTTTTGTATGTTTAACACATTTCTTGTGTAAAAATCACATTTTCTAGCCCCTGGAACAGCAACACTGAATTGCTAGGATTATGCAGTGTTCCTTCCCAGTATAATATAAATGTGGTTATGGGAGTGTTGGATAGACCTTGTGACATTGGCAATGAGCAACACAATTTATTTGCCTGTGCCATTTTGTAACCTTTTAAAGATGTTTTACTCTCTCCAAAGGCTGGACATCTGCCTACTATATGAATTAAATGAGTGCACTCATGAAGCCTTTCAATGCAACTGAATTATTTTTGTTTTTTTCCTCCTGGGATATTTATTTCAACATACTGATTCTAAGAAATTATAATTTGTTGCATTTATATATAAGGACTGGCTTATGAATATTGTCTATTTTAATGCTGTTTAATGTATAGATTATTTGATCATATACAATTGTAATTCTGTTCAAATATGAATTAAAAAAATAAAAAGGGCCAAACACAAGCAGGGATCCGCCACAGTACCATTTTACTTTTTTATTATTACTTTTTACTGTTAATTCTTCCCACAGAGTTGTTGGAATCTCCCTACCCCAAGTACCTCCCCTTAAATATTGTTGCAAACAACAACAACTAAGTGAATTGGGAGCATGGAGAGAGTGGTTCTAAAAATGAAATCAGCCATTGCTGGATCTCTTCTCAAGAAGTCCAGCTAGGACGATTGTCATGCAGTTTGCAATATTTTCATTAAATAAAAATTATCACAACAGAAATCAAGCAATTTGCCTCTGCAGTATAGCAAGCCACATGGGCAAAATAGCTGTAGTTAAGATTAAATACTAAGGCTGCTGCTTGCAGGCAAAAATCCAGAGCTTTGCCGTTTGTGCACTTCAGTCAGCACTGAATTCAACTGTATACTGTAAAGCTGAAACAGTCACGAAGAGCAACCAACACAGAATGTCATCCACTGTTCCCTACTGCCTTCACAATCTGTGGGTGAAGATGCATATTTTCATTCAGAATTTTCCTATGCAGGATAGGACCACCAAAGCTGTTCCATTACATCCTTTGCACAACACATTCTGCCTCACTGTCTAGATCTGAGCAGTTAATGCTCGCATATCAAAGCAGTGTAGTCGGAACAATGCAGACGGAGATTACATGAAAAGCAACCTTGTTTTCTCGGACTTCATACATGCAACGCCTGTAGACAAGCCCACAACCGAAACCTGCTCTTGGGCTATGAATTCCCTAAACTTGGAGTGACCTCAATCTACTTGAAATACAGATTCAGCAAAGGAAAAACCACTTGATTAGGTTAGCTCTTGGCGTCTCCTTCTCTGGAGGGTTTTAAGTAGAGGCTGGCTGGCCATCTGTCAGGAGTGCTTTGATTGTGTGTTCTTGCATGGCAGAATGGGGTTGGACTGGATGGCCCCTGTGGTGTCTTCTAACTGATTAGAACAGAGGTGAGGAATCCTTGATGTTCCAAGCCTTATAACTGACGCCGCCTATTATTGTTGGCGATGCTGGGTGGGGATGACAAGAACTACATATCAATACAGATGGAGAGCCAGTAACTACCCATCCTTGCCTTATGAAGTACTGCTTCAGAACTAATAGGTGAGTGTACTTGGCCCTTTTGCCTTTCCTGGCTACTGTATCTTTTTTAACAAGTTCAACTATGTCATGAAGAAGACCAGGACTTGCCAGTGGCCTTACTTTCTTACCAGGAAGAACAGCAGAGATACAAGTTAGCATTGGCACCTTTTTATTTTCAATGTATATTGATACCAAAGTAAAATCACAGAATTGGGAGGGGCTTTATGGGACATGCGGCAGCTTTCATATGAACAAAAACTGAGTAAGGCTTCATAAGGCCGGCATGAAATGGTGCAGGTCCTAGAAAAGTATACAGTTATTGCCTACAATCTCCAGAACTGATTTCAACCTCATGTGCCCCATCCTGAAACACTGGGGAGATGTTACTGAAAAATGACAAGACAGACAGATGGTGCCTCTTTGCACCTACATTTATCAGATGTGTGGCAAAGAAAGATCTCTTCCACTAGAGGTGAGTGACTGCAGAAACTTTGTATCTGTACAGATAAGCATATAGATTTCATGTTTCTAGGAGGGTTTTTAAAAAAATAAGAGGTGACTATATCAGGTGATTTTAAATAGTCTAAGATTTTACAGCTTGGGGGGGCAATTTGGATTTAAAATCCTAAGGTCCTTGCAAAAAAATCCCAATTTTGATTTGTGCACCTTTTCACCATTCTTAAGTTAAAAAAGATGCAACTGCTGTGTTAGTTAATATGGTTTTGAAAGCTATTCAATATTCAAAGACATAGCTTACATATTGTCGAAGGCTTTCATGGCTGGAATCACTAGGTTCTTGTGGGTTTTTTCGGGCTATAGGGCCATGTTCTAGAGGCATTTCTCCTGACGTTTCGCCTGCATGTATGGCAAGCATCCTCAGAGGTAGTGAGGTCTGTTGGAATTAGGACAATGGGTTTATATATCTGTGGAATGGCTGGGGTGGGGCAGAGAGCTCTTCTCTGCTGGAGCTAGGAGCCATTGAATGCTAATCAAGGTGATCAGCTGAAACATTCATACCTAGCTCCAGCAGAGAAGAGCTCCTTGCCCCACCCCAGCCATTCCACAGATATATAAACCCATTGTCCTATTCCACAGACCTCACTACCTCTGAGGATGCTTGCCATAGATGCAGGCGAAACGTCAGGAGAAATGCCTCTAGAACATGGCCCTATAGCCCGAAAAAACCCACAAGAACCTAGCTTACATATTTTTTACTTTTCTTTTTCTACTATTTTATGTTTCTATTTACTTGCAGTAGTATTCCCCTACCCCCACTCCTGACTATACCCTTTTTATGATATTGTAAATATTATAATTCTACGTCCTTAATAAATAAAAATCATTTTAAAATATCCAGACATAGCTTTCTTAATCTGAAATATCAGTATGCAAAGAAAATGTGTGGCACTTTAGACACGGAGAGAAAAAAAGTGGTAGCATAAGCTCTTACAGACCAAGGATGCATATATACTAGGCTTGTGCAACCCGGGTAAACCGTGATCCGTTTCACTGTCCCGGATTTCGATGGGGATCTCGATCCTTTTCTCAGGAGCCTCAGGAATTCGGGAGAACAGAAATCTGTTTTCACTCTGGGAAGCCGAAAGATTCGTTTTCTAGCTGGTCTATTGGTGGCAATGGGGGGGGGGTCTTTAGAGGAGACCTGGCTTTAAAGAAAGAGCTTAAGAAACCTCACTTCCTAGGACCCTTTTCCTTCTAGTGGCTGTCTCCATACCTGCACTCAACATGTAACCAAAAGAAACCAAAAGCAGATGATTTTTGACAGCCACTGTTCTGTTGTGGCCAGTAAAAAAATGGCGGTGGAGTCCATGCTATTATGAGCTTCCAAACAAACTGAAGGCAAATGTTCAAAATGAATTTGTGCACAAACCTAATGCTATAGAATTGATGCGATTTACTACCACTCTAACTGCCATGGCTTAATGCTCTTGAATCCTGAGAATTGTAGCTGTCAAAGACTGCTGGTGAGGCACTGCCAGTCTTTGGCAGCTACAACTCAGGATTCAAGAGCATTAAGCCGTGGCAGTTTGAATGGTATCCAATTACTACAACTTCCAGGATTGACATAGCATTGAGCCATGTCATTTAAAGTGGTACCAAAAAGTGGTAACAAACTGCATTAATTTCAGTGTATATATATCCTAAGAGGAATGCATCTGACGAAGTAAGCTAAGTCTATGAAAGCATATACTACCAACTTGGTTCTCTAACGTGTTACAAGACCCTTTTGCACACTTATATTCGGTATTCATATGCTATCCCATATGCTTGCAGTAATGGGTCAGAGAAGGCACAAGAACAGTTCGTGCCCTGTCTGTCTTGTCCTATGAACCACTCTAGCAACAACTTTTGCCTGTCAACTTACTGGCAGTTCTCCTAGAATGCACAAGAGGGAGCTGTTTTCCATTTCCTAGAAGAGAATGCATCTGAGGAAAGCAGGCTTTCATAGACTCCCCAAGGAGTGCCAGCAGCACTCCTTGGGGTGAGGAGAAAATAGGCACCAATTCCTGAGTCTCCCAGAAACAAAGTGCTATTAAAG